GCTGATCTCATCATGGGATCGATTCGCGGACATCGAAGAATGGAAAACACGCTACAAACATAAACTTTCGGCGCTCCGCGCGGACCTCACAACGTTTCTGTTTATGTTTTTTTGTTTCTCTGGGACACCCGAGTTCCAAGTGCCAAGTTCCTCCCTCTCCCTCCCCGCAGCGGTGCGCGCTCGCACTCTCCGGGGCCCCCCTCGGGGCCGTCCGAGAGGAGCACGCCTCTCTCCGAGGACGGCCGAGGCCTTGCTGGAGACGCCCCGGCGCCGAGAGAACATACGGTCGGACCAAAGTAGATCGGCGGCGAGCGAGAGGAGGAAGTGAGAAGGAGAAGGCCTTCTCAGAAGTCGAGGAAGAGACAACGCCATAAACATACACTTTTGGCGCTCCGCGCGGATCTCTTGGATCTGCGCTGGGCCCCCCTGGCGGCGCCTCCGGCGCCGCCCCTGGCGCGCTCCGCGCGCCAGGGAGTGGGGCCCAGCGCAGATCCAAGAGATCCGCGCGGAGCGCCAAAAGCGTATGTTTCTTCCTGTAAGAAGGCGACAGGACTTCTCAGAAGCACTCGCACCTTCTGAGAAGCCTTCTGTGTCTTCGGGGAAGGCCCAGAACATTTTTCAGAAGGCCTGGGAACTTCCGAGCCTTCTCAGAAGGCCTTCTCCTTCACACTTCCCCCCTCGCTCGCCGCCGAGTACAAGATCGAGGTCGGCTCGGGGAGGGTACCCCTGATGTTCTTTTTGCCTGTTGGGTGCTGTTGTGCCTGGGGAGGGTGCCCTTGGATGTTCTGTGCCTCTTCGCCGGCGGTCCTTCCCTTGCAGCCAGTGAACTAGCGTTAAGTCGAGCCTGCCCCTCTACAGGAGGAATAGTACCAAATAGGCAACAATAGCATAGGGGACGATGTTTTGACTATTTTTGAAATGTTTGAGCATGTTTGGAGTATTTTTATTTTTTCGTCGAACATCTGCCTGTAGGGGGACATGCCCGACTTAACACTAGAGCGCGCGTTCGGACTGCCTCTTTCCGCGCTGCGACGGAAAAAGCGTTTTCGCCGGCGGAGGGCCTCATGGTCTTGAAGGATGTTCTTCTGTCCCAGGTCCGATCGTACCGTCAGAACGCTGAGATCACCCGCGGCAGCGATAGGGGGGGATAGGCATAGGGGGGACGCATCGACCCCCCATCGCCCACTGATCGACGACAGGTGCCCGATAGCGCCAGCCTGCACAGGCAGGTGCGGATTCACTATCGGGGGCCTACCATCACCGATCTATCGGTGATGCATCGCCGATGCCAGGTCGATGCCAGTCCTCACCTGTCGTTGCCCTTCAGGTCAGGACTGCTGTGGGCTCTGGAGGAGGGAGGAGGGAGGAGGGAGGAGGGAGGGGAGGAGAGCAGGAGGAGGAGGAGGGGAGAGGAGGAGGAGGGAGGAGGAGGAGGAGGAGGAGAGGAGGGGAGGAGGAGGAGGGAGGAGGGGAGGGAGGAGGAGGAGGAGGAGGATGGGGAGGAGGAGGGGGAGGAGGAGGAGGGGGGCGGAGGAGGAGGAGGAGGAGGAGTGCTGCCGGAGCCTGGTCGGGGCTGGCCGAGAGGCTTGCCGTGGACAGGGATGCCCCCGTCCTTCCGTCCTTGCTCTCGGCGTCCCCTGCGGTGGAGGCCCATGCCAAGAGGCACCCTGCTTGCCTCCAGTGTGCCCTGGGTTTCTTAGGTTTCGATGGTTTTGCTACGGAGAGCGCGGCGTTCCCACACCAAGAATCAAGGGACGTCCTGGGGTCTCAGGGTTGGGTTTCGTGTGGAAGGGTTCTTGTGGACTGGCCTCTACTATATGGCAGCACTATGGCTGTAGCCCAGGCGCTGGACCAAGAAGTAATTCGGGTTCGGCGGGGGCTTGCAGTTCCTTCAGGTCCGTCCGTAGTCGTTCCTCGAGTTCTCCTCGTGCACCCAGGCGCTCCTGGGGCCCAAAAAGGAGCCTCGCTCCTTCCCTGGCGCTCCTTCTGGAAATAGCTCGACTGCGCGCTGCGCTCTCCGAAGACGGCGGGGCACTTGCTGGAGACTTGTCGCAGCTTGCCGAGATGGCACGATACCCCTCCCCGCCTGGGGCTCCCCCCTCGACACCGCGCGAACCGCGCAGGAACGATACCCGCGCTCGGAGGTCCCCAGAGGCTCTCGACACCATCTCTCGTACAGTCGACCCGCACGGTAAGAATGGGCACCCCTCCCAAGGGTACCCTTGCATCCTTGCCTCGTCGGTCCATCCTTGGTCACTCTCGTGGGCCGCGCCCCGCTCGGAAAGCTTCGAAACGGCCTTCCAAGGGAGGGGGAGAGGAGGAGGAGGAGGGGGAGGAGGAGGAGGAGGCGGAGGAGGAAGGTTGGGTGAGGCGGAGGAGTGAGGAGGAGGAGAGGAGGAGGGAGGAGGAGGAGCAGGAGGAGGGAGATAGAAGTGGAGGAGGAGGAGGAGGGAGGAGGAGTGAGTGAGGCATCTGCATGTATTGGGTTGCGCGTTTTTTGATCTTGTTATGTGCTTGCTGCTCTCTAGGGGGGGCTGTTCTCTTGACCTACCTGGTGGAGGGGGGCGTTTTGTTGCGTGGGGGGGGCCTTCCACGGCCCGAGACGGGCTCTCCCCGACTGGTATGGCGTACGGCTTCCGCGCAGGGCGCTTCAATGCGTCCCACGCCAGACGCCCGGACAACGCCGCCCTTGGTGGACCATTCTCCACCTCCTCTTCCCTCACCCTCCTCCACTCCTCCGCCCTCATACTGTCCTCCTCCTCCTATCCTCCCTCCCTCCTCCTGTACGATCCCTTTCCGCCTCCTCCTCCTCTCTTCTCCTCCCTCCTCCTCCTCGCCCTCCTTCATCCTTCCTCCATCCTCCTCCTCCTCCCCCTTTCTTTCCGCCTCTCCGATCCGCCTCCTCCTCCTCCTCCTCCTCCTCCTCATCCACCTCCTCCTCCTCCTCCTCCGCCTCCTCCTCCTCCTCCTCCTCCTCCCCCTCCCCCTTCTATCCCTCCTCCTCCTCCTCCTCCACCTCCTCCTCCTCCTGTCTATCCCCCCCGCCCGTAGCCGTCGCTCCCCTCCCCGGGTCGGGGCTCCGCGTCGGGTGCCTCTCTTCGGCGGCCCTCTGGCCCGCGCAGCGGGTCTCGCGGTCCAGGCGGAAGGTGACCGAGGAGGTGGAGGGTGAGGAGCGAGGCGGTGAAGGAGTGAGGAGGCGGGGGACGGGGGGGGAGGAGGGAGGAGGGAGGAGCGAGGCAGAGGGAAGAGGACACGCGACTCGAATGGCCCCGCCTAGGAAATGGGGGATCCACTGCTGATCAGAGGAAGGCGCGGCTATTCCGAAGCCGCGTGGGTGTCACCACTTAGGGAGATCCCCGTGTGCGGGTGACACTTGGCCTCAAGATTTCTTAAAGCCGTGGAGCGAAGCCTGGTCTCTCAGGTGACGACGAGGCCATTACAGCGGGCCATCAGCACTGGGGGCTGGCGGGTGGATGCTGGACCCCCGCAGTTCAGACAGTAGACACATGGGCCCTCGGTGGCCAGATGGCGTCCCCGAATAATGTGGAAAGAGGCCTCAGGGATACGGTGGGGGTGTTCGTTAAGGAACGTGCCCAGGAGGCTTCAGACCCTGGGGGGGGTCCTTCTCTGATGAGGGCGGCGGTGATATCCATGGCCAATCCACGGTTGGCTCTCCACTGGCTTCCAGACCCTGGATTCCTTATCGAAGGTTTCCATCACTGCACTAGACACAGTATCGGGCCCACTCGAGGCCGCGCTGGACACAGCGGGTCACCCCACTCCAGCAGCCCTGCCAGATGGTTGGTGCCCCTCCGATCTTGGGAGCCTCCTCGCCCCTCCTCGGCGACCCGCCACCGCTCGCACGCGGGATTCACGTGCTCGCGGCCGTCCACCTCTGATGGCCAACCGCGGCTCCCGGGACACGATCCGCCGCCTCGAGGGCGATCGAGATGGCCTCCTCGCGGGCAGTTGGCAGCGGCGCAGCAGAGGGAGCAGAGGCAGCACAGCAATCATGGGAGGCGTGCCTGCGTTGAGCGCGCGCCGTCATGCTCTGCAGGGCCGAGCGGCGCACGCTCTGCGCGCCGCGGTCGCCTCCACCCTGTCTCGGAGCTCGCCGAGGCCGGGCAGAGGCCGCAGGGACAGCTCGACCCGCGCCGAAACAGCTGGTGGCGCTGCTGCACGAGCTGCGCAGGTGCAGAAAGGGGCAGCAGCTCGGGACCTTTTCGGGATGGTCTCGTGGATGCAAGCCATGGTCGATCCCACCGCCGCCATCAGCCACGCTAAAAGCTTGGCATGCTCCTTGGCGTTCGTCATCTTGCTACGGAAGACGTCGTGGATGGCTCGCGGCAGCACGTGCAGCTGGGCCTCAACCTTCGCGAAGAAGTCGGCCCACGCATTGCCCTAGAAGTTGCCAGCGTGGTGCCTGCCTGCACACTGCAGGAAGGAGTCCACGTCCTTGTGTGCAGGGCACTAGTTATGTCGCTCCAGGTCGATGGAGGCCGTCCATCTGCCCGAAGACACGGCGCCAGATGTCAGATTACCTACTGGCCCCGCGCACCGGCCAGCTCAGGGCCCCAGCTCTCGATCTCGTGCGCGCACACCTCGCGGCCCCAGGAGCCGTGCGCACGAACGACCCCCGGCATGCGGAAGTAGCCGATGAGCTACCAGCGCTACCACATGGGATAGCGCAGCCTCCGCGCCTCCTCCTCCGTCCGCGGGCCCGGCAGGATGCCGTCGAAGGCCTTGTGCAAGTCCAGCTAGGATCACCATGAGGCTAGACTCGCCGAGCAGGTGGGCAATCTCGGCAGTGATGTTGTGGCCATACGCCGAATCCACCGAGGAGGAGCAGGCGGAAGAGTCCGAGGAGGAGGAGGAGGAGGAGCGAGGAGGAGGAGGAAGGAGGCGGAGGAGGAGCGAGGCCCGCATCTCCGAGCAGATCGCCGCCTCGACGTTTGCCCCGCGTCGCCGGAGACCTGCCCTCCCCCCCCCCGCGCCAGCAGGCGGCTACGACCACATCGCCGTGTCGCAGCTGCTGAACGCCCACGCCAAGGCCAGGGTCTTTGACCGGGAGTTCTTCCTCGCCGCGGTGCGCGCGGCGTTTTCTGTTCAGCTGTTTTTTCTTGATCGCGCTTCGCCAGGGGGTGTTAATGGTGCCATCATTTCAAGGCAGAAGAGTGCCACAGAAGGGATGGGGAGCCCCAGACCGCCCGGTCAGGTGGCGGTCTGGCAGCCGTGTCGCCGAAGGCTTCCTCGCAGTAAACATATATATATATATATAGATTCAGGAAGCGTGCTCTCGCCGCAATGCTGGCTACATGTTTGGTCTGGACGGCCACGAGCCCGTCTAGGACATACAGCCGTGTCTCACTTGCCGACCACCTGCTCCTCGACCCGCGTCTTCACCTCTGCTGCTATTCGGGTACTCTGCTGGGGTGTTGCTGTGTATTGTTATGTTTTGTGCTTGATCTTCGTCGGGAAGCTATGCATCCGACGCCGCGACGAGGGGCGACCGCCTTCCCATCAGGGGGCACATCAAATCAGGGATCTGCCTGCCAGCAGGTGTCCGACTCCTCGACGCCCCCGAGGGCTTGCAGATCAAGGGTGTCCGCGGTTCGGTCGGTTGGGCTGCTTCGCAGTCCGCTCTATTCGGCCGGTCCTGTTCGGTCGGTTGCTGCGCCGCTGCGTCCTTCCACGCTGCTTTCGGTCCGTCGGTGTTGGTCGGTTTCGCCTCGCGGTCGGTTTTGTCGGTTTACGGTTTTGCTGTCGCCGTGGCCGTCTGTGCACATGTCCTGTGGCACCTCAGAAGGCTCGAGGGCTGGCGGACAGTCTGCCCGAGGTTTCCCGCTGCAGGGTCTCTCAGAGCACCGTGCGCACCTCCTGTTGCAGCTTCTCTGTGGCGCTGGCGGCCACTCCAGCAAGGCTGCATCATCTGGGATGCCCGAGCGGGGGGGTCGGGGGGAACGCGCCGCACTCGCCCAAGGAATCCAGGGTCTTGGAGGAGGAGGAGGAGAAGGAGGAGGAGGAGGAGGAGGAGGAGGAGGAAGGAGGCGGAGGAGGAGGAGGAGGAGTTGGAGGAGGAGGAGGAGGAGGAGGGGGGGCCCGGGGAGCCTCGTGCCCCCCGCTCCCCATGGGCCTCCGCCCGCGCGGCTTCTTCGAGTCGCCCGCGGTCCAGGGTCCTGGAGGGGGCCGGGACGGCTCGTGGTCCCCGCTCCTCATGCTTCCGCCGACTCTGGGGGAACCACAACCTAGACATGATCGCGTCGTGAAAAAATCAGGACGGGAGGTTTTTGCCAGTTTTCGGTCTCGGGAGGCCCTCGCCAGGCCTCGGGACCGTCAAAGAACGATTCAGGAATGAAAAACCGGTCCCAGGGAAAGGGTCGGGACTTTCAGGGTCGGGACTTTCATGTTCGGAAGTCCCCCAGCCTTCTGAGCAGTTTTCCAAGCCTTTCCTGAAGACAAACAACTTCTCAGCAGGCGCGAGGGCTTCTCAGAAGTCCCGTCGCCTTCTGAGAAGGCCTTCTCCTTCTCACTTCCCCCCCTCGCTTGCCGCCGAGCAGTGTCTCGCGTGCCCCTCAGGACATCTGTGCTGGCTCGACAATGTGTCCCTGCAGGCCTTTTTCACAATCGCTGCTTTTATCCTCCTCATCCTCATCATCGTCGCCATCATCGCGGACAGAGCCGAGAGAGGACCAGGGGTAATTGTAGGGGGGTAGGTAGGCTCAGGGGGGAAGGCATCGACCCCCAGTCGCCCATGGATCGCCGATAGGGGCCAGATGGCCCATCCTGCTCATGGGCCTGCCAGGTGTACTTTCCGCGACCCTCCCTCTGTCTCCCTAGGTGGTGCCTGAATGGGCCACCTTCGGCCCGCCAGCCGACTCGGGCCAGGAGGCGGAGAGCGAGGACGAGGACGAGGAGGACGCGGACGAGGGCGAGGGCGATGAGCATATCAATGAGGAGGAGGAGGAGGAGCAGGAGGAGGAGGAAGAGGAGGAGGAGAGGGAGGAGCAGGAAGATGATACCGAGGACGAGGATTACAAGCAGGAGGAGGGTGGAGGGAAATAAGGATGAGACATCTGGGATAAGGGTTGAGGGAGAGTGGGGAGGATGCGAAGGAGGAAGAGGCGTCGCGGAAGGAGGAGCTAGAGGAGTAACAGTAATCTGATACACATCATGATGCAAGGGGCGGGAATTGTTGGAGGATGGGGGGCACAGCGCCCAAGCAGGTGCGGTGGATGACGCCTTCTCGTCTGTCGACGTACACGCCGCAGTCCGTCTCAAACAGCTTGCACGCCATCGCGCGGTTCCCTGCGCTCTGGGACCAGCGGGAGGACCGCATGCAGGTGATTCCTTGGTCCTCCTACTCACGGCCCGCCTCATCTCAGCCGCCCTCCTTCCCCTGCTGCTGCTGCGGCTCCTCCTTCTGGGGGGGGAGAAGGGGGTGGGGGGGGGGGCTGGAGGACGAGGATGAGATGGAAGAAGGATGAGGTGGGGGAGTGGGGTTGGAGGGACGGAGGGGAAGGATGGGAGGCAATTTATGCGCATCATCCCGCCGCTTACCACTGAGAGTCGGATCTTGTTTACCTCCGAGGCTTCCAGCCCAAGCAGTCATCCTTCTCCTCTTGCTCCAGTGCTTATGCTCTCACTCGCCCTCGTATCTGTTTTCCTCCTGTCCCTCTCTCCGTCGACGTGTCTCGGGCGTGTCGGCCGCGGGGCCGGTCTCGAGGAGCCGCTCTGGCAGGGCCGTCGCGCCGTCGGAGTGCCTGGAAACCTCGTCCTCGTCCTCGTCCTCGCCTCCTCCGCTGCCTCCCTTTGCAGTGCCCTTGGCCCTGGTCAGGGACAGCCGTAGTATGCAGGCTGCGCCTGTCTGATAGAGCCAGGCGTGGCCCTGAGCGCCCCGCCGCGAGCCAGTCCTCGAGCACCTGCGTGTCTTCTTCATGTGCTCGGCGTCGTCGTCGTCCTCCCCCTCCTCCTCCTCCTCCTCCTCCTCCTCCTCCTCCTGGCCTCCTCCTCCCTTTCCTCCTCCTCCTCCTCCTCCTCCTCTTCCTCCTTCTTCTCCTCCTGTATTCCTTTGCGTGCTCCTCATCTTCCTCCTCTCCCTCCCCCTCCTCCCCCTCCTCCATCTCTTCCTCCTCCTCCTCCTCCTCCTCCTCCTCCTCCTCCTCCTCCTCTTCCCCCCCTCCCCCTCCTCCTCCTACTCCTCCTCCTCCTCCTCTTCCTCCTCCTCAACCTCCTTCTCTTCCGCCTTTCTCCTCCTTCTCCTCCTCGTGCCGCCCCCCTCCGTCGTGCGTTTTTTCGTCCTTCTGGCGCCGCAGCTCTACTCCCCCTCCCCCGTTCGCAGTCCTCCACCTCCCCCCTCGCTCCTCCGCGCGCTCCTCCGCGCGCTCCTCCTCCTCCTCCTCCTCTCTCCTCCTCCTCCTCCTCCTCCTCCTCCTCCTCCTCTCCTCCTCCCCTTCCTCATCTCCTCCTCCTCCTCCTCTCCTTTCCTCCTCTCTCCTCCTCCTCCCTCCTCCTCCTCCTCCTCCCCTTCCCCTTCCTCCTCTCCTCCCCTTCCTCTTCTCCTCCTCCTCCTCCTCCCTTTCCTCCCCTTCCTCCCTCCTCCTCCTCCTCCTCCTCCTCCTCCTCCTCCCTCCTCTCCTCCTCCTTCTCCTCCTCCTCCTCCTCCAACTCCTCCTTCCCTTTCCTCCTCCTCCCTTTCCTCCCCTTCCTCCTCCTCCTCTTCCTCCTCCACCTCCTCCTCCTCCTCCTTCTCCTTCCGCTTCTCCCTGTGCAGCCGTCCCCTCCGCGAGGTGCATGCGCTGTTCGCCACGTGCGTGACGGAGGACCTGGCCTCTGGGGCTGGGGCGAGGGGCCTGCCGAGGGGGGGGGGGTCAGCGGAAAACGCTGGAATCCGGAGGTTGGAACCCTGACTTCCGGAGGTCAGGGTTTCCTATCTCGGAACTTCCCTAAACAAACGACAACAGAGGGAAACAGAAGGGAGACATGGAAAACCGAAGTGACACACAAGGGAAACAGAAAGGAAACACAAGGGGAACAGAAGGGAAACAGAGAGAACACAGGGGAACGCACTGGAACACAGGGAACACACAGGGGAGCACTATCCTAACCTCCGGAGGTCCGTGTTCCAAGGCTCCGAGGTGCGAAACCCAACCTCCGGAGGTTCGTGTTCCAAGCTCCGAGGTGCGAAACCCTAACCTCCGGAGGTTAGATTTTCGCACCTCTGGATTCCAGGGCCTACCGTGGGTCAGCGGCGTGCCAACAGCTGTCGGTGGCCAGCGGAGCGTGAGACGGCCCGGTGTGGGCCCGGGCTTGCCGCATGCCTTGGTTGTCCTGATACGCACGGGTTGAAACGTGACAGGTGCCGTGTTCGAAACGTCCGTGTCAACACGCTGCGTGTTGGCTCGGCACGTGTAGGCCAACGTTTCGGAGAGCGTAACGGATCGCCAGACCTACGATTTCAATCCACGTGTCGAGCTCCGATTCAACACGCTGCGGGTTGCGTGTTGCAGCGAAGCCGCGTGCCCCGCCGCCAATGACTACGCAAGAAACCACCGCAACTAGAAGTTGTGGCGCATGCGAGTTGTCTTGATGTATGTTGCCGTTGTTGCCAAGTGAGTGAGGGTCGTACCACGTGACGTGCTCTTCGATGTCGTGTCGGGGTGTCTTTGTTCGTTCTCGTCGTCGTCGTCCTCCTCCTCCTCCCCCTCCTTATCCACCCCCCCTCCCCTTGTTTCCTTCGTCCCCTCTTCCGCCCCCTTCCTCATCCTCGTCTCCTCCTTCGTGGCTGCGTCCTGACGTGCCCCTGAGTTTCTGTTTTCCGCATCGAGGCTGCGGCCTCCACCGCCACGCCCCAACGGGCGCACGCGGGCGCCCACGCGGCGCACGCGCGAGTCCGGCGTTCGTTCTTTCTTTCGTTTGTTCTCCTCCTCCGTGGGGCTCCCAAGTCCCGGTGGAGGGGTGGCACCGCGCCACCGACTGCCAGTGGCCAGCGGAGCGCGAGACGGCCCGGCGTGGGCCCCCGCCTGCCGCACGCGCTCCTCCGCCGATCACGCCGGAGCACTGCCTGCGCGCGGAAGGGCTGCGCGGCGCACGTGCACCTGCTGTCGTGCCCTGGCACGCGCGTGTTCCAGACATTCGGAGGAGGAAACAGTACCCGTACCGCTACCCCTGCCTCGTCTTCGCCTTTTTGGGCTTCCTGGGACGCCCTCGTCGCCACCGCTGGATTCGCCTCGCAATCCTGGTCAGAACGCACCCAGGGAGAGGCCTGGGGAGTAGCTGTATCGGCACCTTAGCCTTTCGGTCTCCCCGGACATTCGGCCTTGGGCCTCCCGCAAACGGGCAGCAGCGAGATGTGAGCCACAGAAACTCGGCGTCGATGTCGGCGGTCGAAGAAGACCAGGCGGCATGAACGTGAGCTTTCGGGGTCCGCGCGGATCTTGGATCGGCGCCGGACTCCCCTTCCTGGCGCGCGGAGCGCGCCATTGGCGGCACCGGAGGCGCCGCCAGGGAGCCCAGGGCCGATCGAAGAAATCTACGCGGACCACCGAAAGTTTATGGTTCGTTGGCGACCCCGCCGCCAGCGTTCAACCTTGAACGCCGCCGGCGACCCAGAATCGGTCGATGTAGAACGATCTGACGCTTCGGGAACGGCCGATCGTTCAAGGGTGAACGATCCCCGCTGTGTCAGAAACCAACGCTGAAGTCGGCATGTGCATGCAGTTTCTTATCCTCTAAGTACTTGTCTCGGCCACGCGCACCAGGTAGGGGGAGGGGGGAAGGCTTCTTAGAAGCACCCCTGCTTCTTAGAAGGCGCGGGCCTTATCTACAGATGCAAGGCCGGCGCCTTCCAAGAAGCAGCCTCCTTCTAAGAAGCTTTCCCCCCACCCCTACCCCTGTGTGTGCGTGCCGCTACAAGAGAGTTTTCAGGCTGGTGCTGGCTGGGGGCTGAGGTGGCCCATCGGGCGTTGCGAAATGGGGGTCGACAAATAAGTGGGATGTGGAGAAAGGTACACCTTTTGTGCCCCAAAGGGGCCCCAAAGGGGCACCCTGGGGCCCAAAACCTTTCCGTTTCTCCCCCCCATCAATGGCCCACCCATTCAGTAATGCCCGAGCCCAGCACTGGTTTTCGGCGTTTGGAGGCCGTTTCCGGGCTCTGGAGCCATTGGGAAATGATCTCGGGGTTTGGGGCCCGATTTTGAGTGGATTTGTCCTCATCCCCCCCTCTTGACCGATTTTCCTGGGGTCCATCTAGTGCAGACCCCCTGGCCGCCTCCAGAGCGGATGAAGAGTCTGTGCTGCCGAGAGATTTTCCAGGCCTTGTCAAATAGGGTCCGAGTAGATGGGATCGGTGAGGATCGCGCCGCATCGCCGATGCATCGGCGATGCGGCTCGCTGAGCAGCCTTTTTGCCTCCACGCCGACGGCGCCGATGCATCGCCGATGTCGCCGATGCGTCGACGATGTATCAGAGATGCATTGGGGATGCGGCGCGATCCTCCGACCCCATCAGCTCGGACCGCATTCGGGAGGCCTCCCAAGTCGGAGGTTGACAAAGTCCGCACCCTGCCAAGTCGATTAGCAGGTACACCGAACAAGAAACCAGGCTGCGAACAGGCGACCCACCGAGGTGCCTTCTTCTCTGACGACCTCGGGCACCGATCGGAGCCTTTGGACTTCCCGCGAAGCCCACGATCGACTGAGCAATTCCCCTCCCGCCACCAGATTTCTGATAACAGTGTTCCTTGATGCACGTTTGGTAGGTGGATCTCTCAAGCTCTCCGCCGCCTCTGGCGGTGCGCCTTGCGAGCAGGATCGCAGCAAAGCCCCAGGAGAGCGCGGCATTGACAGTGTAGCTCCGCACACGTGACAACTGTTGACGAGCAGGAACGCAGCAAAGCCCCAGGAGAGCGAGGCATTGATAGTGCAGCTCAACATTGACACGGTGGTGGCCGGGGCACTCCCGCCACGTGTCCACGAGCGACGCACGTGTCTGCCGTGGCGCACTGCTCCCGTTTTGGTTGGCTCTCGAGCGGGGGCTGCGGCCGCAGTTTTTTCCGAGGGCCTGCGCCCGCCGGGCGTGGTCCCGAGCGCCTTCAGTCGGGCATGCCACTCTGCAGGAGGAGTAGAACCAGTCACGGAAAAGTGCCTCCTGATCGGGCATCGCCGAATGGAGGTATGCCTTCTGGCAGGGAGAATGCCGTTAGTCAGGAGTACTTTCCAGGAGGTATGCCTTCGGTCGGGAACAGTCGAAAAACTAGCCGGGGAACGTTTTTATGATTATGGTTGCTGAAACATCTGTTTTGACTATGTTTCACTTGTCTCCCAAAGTCCGCCTGTAGGGAGACATGCCCCGCCCAGCTCAAGCCATTTTCACGGAGGGGTGTTTTGCCGAATGGGGCTCTGTCCCCCCACCGAGAAGGGGCTACCGAGTGTGCCCTCGGTGGCGTCCGATCCCGCAAGACTGCGCACGCGGTGTCGCTCATCAGTTTACGGCCACTTCTCTCGGCGCCCCGAAGCAGCCCCCGCGGAAAACAAGAAATGCTCGAGAGACCGCACCTTGATAATAAGTTCGAACCCTGCACTGCACGATGACCCCCTGCACCCTCCAGATTAATATCGAGCGTGCGGCAATGTATGGGGCTTGAGTGGTAGAAATACCCGAACCCCAAAACCACAACCCATACTGAAATCAACGTTGAGTTGATTTCGGGGGGGGTGATCAGAATCGCCCTCAGGTATGTAAGGATTGGGCCATATTGTCCATCCACAGGTGGTCGACGTTTTTTCCAGCCGCCAGTGATCAGGGTCGGGCCTCAAAGTCATCCTCCCCGGACCTTTGGAATTCGTTCTGGCAAGCACTGCGAGGGACATCCAGCCGCAGCGACGGGGTTCCAGGCTAGAACGACACAACGGGATGCGCAACGAAGCATGGCAATGCGCGCGTGGCGATCGGATGATAGCAATATCACAACTTGCTGTAACAACAAGTGATTCAGAAAGGTATACCCGATGCCCTCAGCATTGATGCAACTATTCGCGCATCGGCTGTGACTGTAGTACTACGCCATCGCGCCTCAGGGAGGAGGAGGAGGCTGAAGGTGACGATAATACTGGGGCAGAGGAGGATGTGGTAGGATAGGACATGCGGAGGATGAGGAGGAAGGGGAGGAGGCGGAGTAATACCCCGCGTGTTTACTCCAGGAGAGGGATGATGATGAGGAGGAGGAGAATGAGGAGGAGGAGGACGAGGAGCAGCAGCAGCACAAGTTGGAGGAGGAGGCGCAGGTGAACGCGAATGCGGAGGAGGAGGAGAAAGTGGAGGAGTAGGAGGAGGTGAAGATGATGGCATGTATAAACAGGAGGATGAAGTGGGAGAGGGGAGGAGAAGGCGGACGATTCTTCAGGCTTACCCCACATCCGCCGACCCTTTATGAAGAATCGCGCAGTGGTTTGGTCGCCTCTTTGGGTGGTCTGAGGCCCCTGGGCCATTCTGGGGGCATTCTTGGGTTGCCTTGGGGCCCCTTAGGCCGTCCTGTGGCAGTATTGGGCTGTCTTGGGGCTCTCTTGGGCTGTCATCGGCCTCTCTTGGGCTGTCATGGGGCGCTCTGGGTGTTCTTTTCGGCCGTCTTGGCCGTCGCCATCTGTTGCCGAGGACTGTGGTATGCCCTTGGTGACCTCAGAACTGCTTTGCGGTGTCTTTTGGAACCGTCAGGGGCGGCCGTGGGGTGACCTTCAATCGTTTCAGGCCATTGTGAAGCTATCTTGGCCCTTCCTGACCTTAAGCGGAACCGTCTCGGCGTCCTCTGAGGCTGTTTTGGCGCGCC